AAACACGAAGGAATGTCACAGTGTATATGCACAATTCACGCAGCTCATGGAAAATACGAAAATCAGTTGGTACAGCCTGTAATGAAGCATAAATTCGAATCTGAATCTGAAAGGGAAAGTCAGATACAAACTCATGGGTTTTCAGACATTTTTACTTCAACTTCAAGAATAGGACGATTGTAAACTTTCGAAACCTGATACATTTGTATTTATTCATGCTAGTTACCCTTTCAAGGCTCTCCAGAAGAACTAGCCAACCTATGGTTTTCGGAAAGTGTGGAAGCAGTAACTAAATTTAGATATGCACTGAAAAGCAAAAAAAGAGCAATTTGTGCTATGAAGAAAAAGTGTGACGGTTTTCAAACATCAACAGATTATGTCAATATCAGAATACCTGAAAAACAGGTAGTCCTACACACTCGATTCTGCTCACGGGTAATTTAAATTTCTAAAGCCCACCGTTAATCTTGAAGTTGAAGTTTGACAACGCTCTAACCAGTAACACCTACTATGAATCGTACACGCCTAGTGAAATCAAAAGTCAGAAGCAAGGAGGTACGAAGATATATATGATAGACTATCAATATATCGAGAATCGACTGGTCTAGACTGGCTAGTGATTGCAGGAAAAGTTGAGCTCGACATTCAGTTTCCACTCGTGATCTGATGCGGATGGGTGACCGAGCGCCTTCAGCTAGGTGAGTCCATTAAAACTAATGTGATCGGTATCAAATATCGAAGACTTATGGAGCTATTGATTTTGAGGATTTATTTACCGCTACAAAGTCAAGGCCGTTGGCGACGACCCTCTGATATTAGAGTGGTTTGTCGTTCAACCCGCTATTTCGGTAAGCTTTACCATGATATTCTACACCACCAAGTTAATTTTTGAGTTTCAATTGTTCATCACGCATCAAGATTAGTGTTTTTACTTCAACTCAATCTGTTTCATTTAAAGTATTAGGGGTCGCGTCTTATTTCGAAATTTATACTTAAAAGTTACCGCACCACACATCCCTTGTACTATACCAAGGGGGCCGAAAAACTCTCCACCATGGCTCAATAAGGAGGGGGACTGGTGAGACAAAGTCTCAGTATCGAAAAGCTCAGAATACCTGTGTTCTGACCCTCCGTAAGTCTATAAAGTTGTACGAAGAAAAGAATTGTTAAGGAATCCATAGAATGTCCTAGACGCTTGTATTCCTATATAAACCGAAGGACAAAAAGAAGAGAAAGTATTCCTGCACTATGAGGAGATAGTACCGCCGCATCATTAGTGCAGGACGACTTTAGTAAGGCTCAATTGTTTTCAAACTACTTTAGCAATGTATATACCATAAAACCACCCTTCCTGTCAGCGCATACAAATCCTCCCACACATACACTGAATAGCGTGACCACTTAAAACCCCGATGTCTTCAGTCTGCTAAATAAACTTGACATAGGTAAATCCACGGGACCCGATGGATTGCATCCTAGGCTACTAAAGGAATTATCTAACTGCGTTGCGAACCCTTTAAGTATATGCTTTAACCTATCCGTAACGCAGGATCGTTTACTGAGAGACAGGAAGAACGCCATAGTAATTCCTGTCTTCAAAACATGTACGAGACATAAACCTGAGAATTACCGACCAGTTAGCCTAACTAGTGTGGTTGTTAAAATCTTGAAAAAGATTATTCAAAGGGAGCTGTTTAGGTACCTCGATGAAAACCGGATCCTTTCGGAGAAGCAGCATGGTTTCAGAATATTTTATTCTTGTCTCACTAACTTGTTAGTGGCTCGTGAAAGCTGGTGCGCTCTTAAGGACCAAAAGTTACCTGTAGATGTAGCCTACATTGATTTCAGCAAAGCTTTTGACAAAGTTCTACACAACCGACTGTTATAGGAGCTAAGAAATGTCGGATTGGAGGCAATCTATTGATTTGGATAAAAGACTTCCAAGTTGGGTGCCAACAAAGAGTACGGGTGAACTCGAAGTTATCTAGCTGGGGAACTATGCTTAATGGAGTGCCCCAGGGTACATTTTTTGGGCCAGTGCTATTCCTCTTGTATCTAAATGATCTTCCTCGTCTCCTATCATCATCGGTCTTGCTATATTCTGACGATGTCAAGATATAGAGAACGATACGATGTAAGGGTGATAGCTTAAAACTCCAAAATGACCTGAAGAAATTATCTGAATGGTCTCAAACCTGGCAGTTGTCGATAAATACTTCAAAGTGTGTTGTGATGTATATATACATTGTTCGCACGTCCTAAACTTGAGTACTCCATACAAGCGGCCAGCCCGTGCTTTAAAAAAGGCAGTAAGCTTTTGGAAAAGGTTCAGAGAACAGCAACTAAGCTGATATCCGGAATAGCAAAGCTCCCGTGTGATGCTCGACTGGTCAAGCTAAACCTATTCCCGTTGTCATATTGCAGAACTAGAGGCGACTTGATTACAGTTTTCAAATTGCTTAGTGATAAATTTGCACCTGATATGCCCTCATTTTTCTTGTCTTCCAAAACAGAGGATTCACAAGGGCACTCCAGAAATGTTCACAAGCCCAGAACATAGTACTTGTCAGTTGACCGTCGACTTTCCCATCGAATCATCAAGTGGAATTAATTACCTCAGCACGTGGTTGAGGCTCTTTGAAAAGAATGATGGATCAACCGAGAGACCACCATTGCCAGTATTAACACAGGCCATCAAGCCTCTTGTCCTTTCCAAACTGAAACTGAAACTGTTGCATCTGTAATCATATTGGGTACAATAGTTTTTCTGGTTATCGATCTCTATGAGCCGAACGGTACATTTTTGCTTCCTAACCCAACTTTGCGTGTCAGTTTTAGCCTCTGGGTGGTTTTTTCCGATTTATTTGAAAGTTTTCGAATGATGACATGATAGTGTGCAAAAGAAATTGTTAACACTCGAGTTTTCTTAACTGGGGGAGTGGTGTGGGGGTATGATGAGTACAAAGGACGATACCCAGAACTTTTTACAAATCCAGCACTTGAAAATTTTAGGTGTAGTTGTCCTGAATGCATGTGATTGTGCCAGCAGTGTTGCTCGGATCCAATAAGTGCGTTATCTGTTTAAAGAATGAATTTTTCCATGTTTTAAAACATTAGATTTCTGGTGCGTTTATCAAAGCAGAAGCTAGATCTAAAACCATTTAACGCTTCTAGCGTTATTTAAGTTTGCGAAATACCTTTTCACACGCCTTTTACTTCAGTCTACACTAGTTTAAATTTATTTGTTGGTTCGTGTCTGTATATTCATATTCTCCGTTTTCCCATGTATTTCCCAGAGTTTGGTTTGCCAACGTTTTTGACGTTTCGTTTCTTTAACTATCACTTTAAAGTTACATTTCTGGTACATTTTCATATTCACTGTAGTACCATTATAATTTCCGAATTTTTGTGATTATCTGTTTTATCTATATGCTGTTTATAATCATCGTCTAACGTTATCGATGAGGTCGAAAACTATCTCTTTGTTCAAGATGGTATGCTGTGTGACAAGTACAGATGGTCCCACAAAATGTGTAGCAATCTATCACCGACTGCGCATAAGCATTCCTGCAGACCGCCTTCACTCCCGTTATGTAGAGAATGCTGCATAAAGACTGATCTCTCTGATGAAGTCTTTAAAGTCCTAACTCTGACGAATAAGTTGCCAAGTGGCGATACCCACTCATTGAGTCTGACATTGAACAAATAGGAAACTAAAAGTTTAATTGCTGTTTACAGGTTAAGACAACTCGAGCGTTAACAATTTCTTTTGCACACTATCATGTCATCATTCGAAAACTTTCAAATAAATCGGAAAAAACCATCCAGAGGCTAAAACTGACACGCAAAGTTGGGTTAGAAAGCACAAATGTACCGTTTGGCTCATAGAGATCGATAACCAGGAAAACTATTGTACCCAATATGATTACAGATGCAAAAACGCGACTCCCAATACTTTAACTAAAACAGATTGAGTTAAATTAAAAACACTAATTTTGATTCGTGATGAACGATCGAAACTGGAAAATTAACATGGTGGGGAAGAATATCATGATAATTGTTCAATGCTAGGAATTCCATCATGTTAAATAACTGAAAATTGCCTTTGGGAAGCATTGTCACTTTGTAATGATTGTTCATAATTTGGAAATGTCACAGTCACAGTAGCCCTTTGTTATGCAGTTATAGCGACCAGCAACTTATAGTTCCTGACCGTCGATTAAATAGTGTGAAGTTTCATATGCATATGGTCCTGAGATTAATTATAGCTATTTGTCATATACTTCGTCCTTGCGGTAGATAAGCACACCAGCGCGAAATTACCATAGACCAGTCATAAAGTATCAGTGTCACATGAAATAGAAGTTAGCTATATCGTTTCCCTCTAAAGTCTAAGATTGTAGGATTTATAAATTTTTAAAATGGTTTCTCATTGGCTGTTCTACTCTACTTTTGTTGGACCATAAAGCTGAAAAGTACTAGTGTTTTTGTTGACATTAGCCCGACTGGCTCATCATAACAAACAAAACTTTATAAAGGTAATAGTACGGATTTTAACCCAGAGATCTTTCATTGGTTTCTACACAAACCTCTAGTGCTCGTTAAACTTAATGAAGCAAGCCTATAATTTACATCACAAAGAGAACATACAGGAAGTTAGCAATCCAAGTAAAATCACAAAAGTGAGAAAACTACTCGAGTTTTCACGGAGCGAGCCGTATAGAATTTAAAATTTGGAAGGTTCTTCGATTAAGACCATCAGTTACATCTCAAATTTGGAATGTCCATATAATTATTATTTTACATTTATTGTAGTGTTCCATAACTGAACGAAATACAAAGTCAAAGAATTTCATTATTAGATCAGTCCTAACATAGTTCATTTTTCAAATAAGAACGAGATTACTAAGCCTATCAGATTCAGGATATATATGTATCCAGTGTATTTGTGTTCATATTCCGTCACTCAGATTTAGGCTGTACATAAGTAACTCCCCATAATGTCAGTCGTCATAGTTGGAGGTGGTATCATGGGTGTTTCTACCGCTTATTATCTATCAAAAAGGAAGGTCGACACACTAATAATTGAAAAAGAGCAACTTGGATCTGCAGCATCTGGGCGAGCTGGGGGATTCCTTGCTAAGGACTGGTGTTCTCACAATGAAATGGATGTTTTAGCTCAGAACGGTTTTGATTTGCACATGAAATTAGCAGATGAGTTCGGTAGTGCATGTGATTATAGACGTGTTAATACGTATTCTATATCATTATCTCCTGGGAAATCTTCCGGTTCTTCAAATTCACCATCTTGGGTCAATGCGAAAGTAAAACATTGTTCACTGATAGGTGACTCTACAACTACTGCACAGGTTTGTTTTGTATTTTGTTTGTTGGTAAGAGTACTTCCAAGGTGTTATAATCTCTCTTTCTTCTTACGGTTAATGACCCAGCTATTCCTATTGCTTAGTATTCTCGGACACCGATTCACTCGACAAGTCCCCAAATCAGAACACGGTTGAACAGGAAAAGATTATATTCCAAATAGCAAGTCAGAAGCACAATAGGGGAAAACGTCGGTATATTTATAGTTTTTACATAAGAAGATTCCAGAGTATTCTCCGACTATCGACTAGTGCTGATCGGATAAGAATCAGCCAATCAGCGTGCACCAAAACAATCATGCATTGAGTATGCTTTAATCTAGTCTATGTCCCGCTAACACAAGGGCCCTGTAAAATAAACTCTTAAACACTAAACTGATTTAGTTTTAAACCACTAATGTTCATTTACTTTTATTGGTATCCGTTTTTTACTGTAAATGTTTCACATGTGTTATTTTTTTTGCGTACCGTAAAAGTTTAATGTAACAGGATTAAATTTTAAACTAAAAATAACAGCTGAAATCCAGTTGAACTATTCCTCAGAGTATTTTACTCATCGTCCTCGACACCAGTTCTGAATACAGACCACGGTGTCATCTTTTTCCTCAGTAGTCGTACTAAAGGCTTGGCTTTTAATACCTGGTCATTTGATAATTCTAAAGAGCTATATCCCACTACCTATCACCTCCGACTTTTCTACTTCCTTTGTTTTAACGGTCGACTATTGCTTGCGATCATTGTGTAGGGTTTCTGTCTGTTTATTTCATTGCGTTTGTATCTTATTTTCCGAGCAACTGTTATTTCAATTGAAACTTCTAAAATCCACTGTTTTTTCCTAACCTTATGTCTATGTTGCTGATAGATATAGCCTTTGTATTTATAGCTTTTTGGACCTTATGCCAAATTATTCCGATTGTGACTGTTCCCCCTGACTTTTTTCTCAATGTTTGGATGATTCTCCCCTAAATAACTCGATTTATCTTTCAGCCGAAGTATAAATGATCCTCCGGTTTTGATTTTCTTACATTTAAATAAATGAAGGCAAATTCGTGCTCCCAGTTGGGCACGATCAAAGTGCAGATATTTGACTCACATGAAGAATTATTTTACCATAGAACCTTCCCAACAGCGACTGGTATTGATGCTATTTAGTGGTGTCTATGATTGATTTAATTTCAAAGATCGTCCAGTCAAACACTGTTTATCGTTGATTACTGAATTCATTTTAGTTTTTCTTTATAAGATTTCAGGGATTAAGCTAAACAACCGGTTTATTGTAATGAAAATTTAGAGTTGAGTAATATTCATATAATTCATCACATCTACAAATGCAATCCTAAATCTGAGATAAAGTAAACGAATAAAGTTCTAGATTAAAGGCTTTTATTAGCAATTCTATTAGTTAAGCAAATTTCTGTTTTTATTTTAAAAGACACTTTGTGCATAGAGAACTTTCAAAAACTCTGGTAATTGCTATCTTTTTTGTAACTTCACGTTAATATTATGGATCTTTTTCTCTCGTTTGGTAAAATCATCAGTGATTTTATGTCAAAGATTTTGACTTGGAGGGATTTCGTTCAGATTAGTAGGTTGTTTTCGCCACAGATTGACCTCAGTTGATGTACTACTGAAAACCATGGGACTGTTGAACAGTGCGGGTTCACAGCGACATGAGTCGAACTTAGGACCTCTGTTTATCACAGCTAATGCTCGACTATGAAAACCACTGGGTTGGCGTCCTATAGTACAATTATGATTTCAACCATTTTGTGATATAGTGTAACAACCATTCATTAGCATTGATGACAACTATTACATTCCCTATGTGTTTAACTTTAGTAGACATGCCCTATGTATAATCACCTATTAAAGTCAAGATTACATTTTTATTTCATCATTTTGAATTCTGTCATGTAAAAATAAAAAAAAAACAGAGTATTATTTATTTTATTACATTACTCCTATTAGGTACATCCCAAAAAACTCACAGATGAATTATTTCGGCGTGCTCAATATTTAACAAATCAGGGAACAAAATTGAAAATTGCCCGTGTTATAGGACTAGAATTTTCAACATCGAATACATCGGCTCCCAAAGTTAGTGGTGTTCGAGTAATAGAATCTTCTACTTCAAATCCTGAAGTTATCCCTGCCAGTTTAGTTATACTTACTACAGGACCATGGTCAAAGGAAGCTGTTAGTTGGTTACCATCAGGATGTTTAAATCCTAATAAATTTCATGGAAGGCGAGCTCATAGTATCATATTGAAACCAAAAATAGAGAAGTCTCCAATAGATGCTAAGTGTTTGTTCATGGATTATCAAAATTCTGAGTTCTCTTGTTCACCTGAAGTTTATCCAAGACCTGATAATACAGTCTATGTATGTGGTCTTGGTGATGGAGCAGTGAGTTTAATCATTGTGTTTTTGGTTTATAAACTGTTATTGTTATATTCATACACATAGTTGTGACCAAAAATCTAGGATCGAATAAAGATTGGGGAAAGTCTATTGGATTCGTTTTTCGTTTTCTCAATATTGATTACTCCTAAGGAACTCAACTTTCACTCCCACCAATTTCAAAAAACAGGCCTACTAGATTAAATAAGATTTCCATGTTTTTTTGTAAATATCTGTTTTCGATTTCAATGTCATCAAATAAAATGTATGCAAACTTTTGAGCTTTCGTGGACCTCAGGTTCAAAGCCAAGATTTCCCAGTCCTTGCAAGTTAACTCATTTATTTTCATCAACAGACGCCATTCACACAAATCTGTATGAACATCTCCATTGTCATAGTATACATTTCGATTGGTTTCCCATATTTGAATATGACTAGTGATAATCTCATAAAATTTCTAAACTTCATTATTATTCCTTCTAGCCTGTACCGTCTTCAAAGGACCAAGTTGAAATTGAATCTTGGCGTTGTAATCGTTTAAAAGAAATAGTTACTAGTGTAGTCCCATCATTAAAAGATGCTGAGATGATAACAGAATCTGCTTGTTATTTACCGCTAGTGAGTGATGGCTATCCTGTCATTGGTCAAATTCCTGGTTTATCCAATGTTTATATTGCCACGGGTAATTCTTGTTGGGGAATTCTTACTGGACCTATATCTGGACGCCTTTTAACAGCTGTCATTTTAAAAAATAATCCTAATTTAATACAGAGCACAAATTCAAACGTTACCGACCAAATGGAGCTGGATGAAAAAAAAGCCCAAGATGATTTATTACAACAACCCGGTATTGAGTTGTTTGATCCAGCAAGACTGATAAAATAAATAACTTGATTTTTTATATTTTTTAAAAACAGAATCTGTTTTTTTTTTCGTTTTATTTTTTTTATCTCAAATGGAGTTTCACATTAATCTGACTGGTGTTTTCGTCTGATTCAACCAGTACAACTCACTTGTCATGACTAAAACTTCTCTTTTTGAACCAGATTGTGACAAAAAATACACATATCTAAGTATTGTTGCCTAATACACTACCACTTATTTATTACTATTATGTGTTCCTTTGAAGCAGTAGTACCGGGTCACTCACCAGGAACCGAAGTAGCTATAGCGGGATTAGGACCTGCAACCAAATAACTGGGAACTAAGTACTGTAATTGTTAAGTGACCCTTTCCACTAGTTGACTGGAAAAAACCAGTTTTAGAATGCTCTGGATGTACATTCCAAGTTGACTGGTCTTCATCAGAATCGCCCTTAGCACGACGTAAAGATTTCTTTCTTATTTTTGTGTCAAAGTTAATTTACATTAGCACGAAAAGCTACTTATTTGAAATGGTTTTTGGCAAGTAATTAGTATAAAAATGTTTAGACACAATAGTAAAAGCGATAAAATTAAGCAGTGCATAGTACGCTTCGATATCTAACAGTTTAATGAAGCCTATTGCATTACAAATTTCTGTCATAAGGTGAGTATAAATGTATATATTGGACAAACCATCCTGAATAACATAGTGTTTTATACAAAAGTACATTGTGAATTCGTTTCAGATCTACTCAAGGCATTGCTAATGTAGATGATAAGTACATACGATCGAGTTGTATCAGTATTCCTAAATAGTTCAGTTCATTTGAAGGAGAAGTAACTGGACTTTTTTACAGCTAATTGTAACCTTCAAAAATGTTCAATTGAAAATATAACAATAGGTTACCATTACATTGATAATGTTGCACTGCATAATCAACTACAAACCCTTATTTGCCGACTTAGTTTTATCTGATGTTTAGTTATACAGTTTTAGCTGAGTGGATGAATATTACAGTTCACGGTGTATATACACAAATCCACTGGTTCAGCAAAGAAAGTATATGGTCTGTTTTTTGATGCTAGTGACCATTTTTTACTTAAGGCTCAAATTTATCCGTAATTACATTAAATGCAAATTTGTTATCAATACGAAGGAAGTCATTGGAAGATTGTCTTATGTTGTACTTCGGAAATATATAATTTTGCATAGGTGAACATGTAATAAGCTTACTGGTTTTGTAAATTATAGTATAAAGGATACCTTCAAAAGAGAGAGTTCGACATCTGAAGATTAATGATGGTGACATCTTTAAAATTGATTTCTTGTAGATTTACTCTTATGTCCAATAAGTAATTACAGTCTAAGTAGTAGTCATACTGAGTAGTGTCACTTTATGATTTGTCATTGGTAGAAATCAATAATTCGTTGTATTAAGTTTTCTTCGGCCTAGTGTTCTTGGATACTTTTTTCACTCAACTGATTTTCGAATCGAAACACGATTTAGACGGAAGTATAAACATTTCAGAGCGGATAGCAAGTTATGTTAATATAATGAGAAAGTATCACTGTATGAAAATTTCTAGTCTTCTCAGCTCATTCACTAACGCTGATCGATTGAAGATGAACCAGTCAGCGAGTTCCAAAGTGGTCTTATTCGAAATATGCTTTAATCAGGTCCTGTTGACGTGCTTAAAAGAAAATGCAACCGTGCAGAACAGTAAATCAGATTCGAATACTGTTCGATCAGCTGATCATTTGATACCCCTGATGAACTGAATTCATAGAAGTAACCTGTGATTTCAATTTGTGAACTTTTACTTCTATTCGATAACTCTCAGAAACTTGAAATGTCTCCATAACTGTTGCAGAACACCTTGGTCATAACTGTCGAATAGAGATAGCATTGTTGATTGATTTGGGGAGATCGACAAACACATCTGTTATGTCCTGACGAAGAATTAATGAATGGTAGTTGCTCGAACTTATTTATGGACTATTACTACGTATATTCATATTGGATAGCTATTAAATAGATTATATTCATATTCCCTTTATCATAAACTTTCATTTGACCTATTGGCTACTGCTATACGATTTACTATTCTCAAGTTATTCTCGATCTCTTAGTCACAGCCTCTAACATTCACACCCACTTTTCGGTTTGCTCTTGTATAATTGTTATTTTCTATTTTGTGGTATGATATGATTTGATTAGCTTGTATGTAAACCCAGTGTGTCTGAAATATATGATTCATGCAGTAGAAGCTGTATTCTGGACTCAAACAGGTCGTGCTAGGCGGAAGGACTAATCAGGACTCAGAGTTGACTCTTGACTGCTCGTACTGGTTGACGTGTCGTTGTTTTGGTACAGTATCAAGATTGTATAGGTCGTGTTCTGATTGGCAATCTTATCATGTGATAGTTAACTGGGCAAAATTTATAACAACATCTCTTTTTAATCTGAAGAACCGCATCATTTAAACTAACGACATCTGAAAAATCCTTTTGTAGAATGGCAACTAAATTCCAAATTAATGGTTTAATGTACTTTTTTCAAAATCATTTTTACGTTAATTTAGTAATTGTATTGAATTATTGTAGTGCGGAATAATCTAGTTTGATACTTTTTGTCTCAATCCAAAGTTTACCATTGACCTGAATCAACACCATTGTTTATATTCTTTGTCCGATTTTGAAACTTCCTAATCACCGAAGGTTTTCACAACTTCGAACTGTGGGTGATGGTTCTTGTTTAACTGGAATATCACTTGCCTCTACAACTTGGTTCGTTCATTCGCTTAGTCGTATGCACTGTTAACCGGTCACTGATTTATCTGAAATGTCTGGTAACCGACTATAGCTTGCTTAACATGTTTGTGCTTCTTTTGGATACTTGTGATTAAAACGTTTGTGTTAATAATCATAGTTTTTGTTTTCAAATGAATAGCTACATAACTTTCTACTAAAAGGATTATTATGTTGAAGGAAAAAACAAACGTATACGATTTATTTAATTCACAGACAATTATCTTAAGATTATATGGAAACATTGTCTGTAGATCCCCAGGAAACTTTGGTATCCCATGTACAGTAATTCATGTAAAAAGTGTAACCCAACTGTGAAAGTGATTGGATCGATATCAGGTCTGAGAATGTTAGGATCAGGTAAAAACAAGTAATTATTTGCATCAAAGTTTAGCTCCTAATGTTGATTGAAATCCAAAATATTCCGATACATCTGTACTCGAAATGTACTTCTTTAAACTGCACCCTACAAATGTTCAGTCAGCGCACCTAGTAATTAAAATAATATTTGTTGTTATTCACATAGATCCCAGGTGACTGGTGCTATTCAGCTTTGAAATTTGGGTTGTAGTAAATAGGTCCTATTTGGATATTTGATTTATAGCCTTTCCTCTTAAGGAAAATAGATAGTTGATTTATCTACCTACATAGAGTGGGTCTTTTCTATGTCAACGAATTTCCTACTTCATAGTTCATTTGTCATCTGTTTTACACAAAAGTAGACTGATCTCAGTTGAATAATAAATATAATTTCGATCTCCCATAAATAGTCTTTTTCTTAACTTACTACTTAATAAAATGTTTAAGTACTAGAAGAAGTGATTTATAAAGAATTTTTTTCAGTGAGAATCTAATTAATTATCCTATTATTTTCGTTTTTATTTAATTAAAATCGAATATTACTTTAATCTATCATATAAAATGATTTAGGCAAATCCAATTCATATAAATGAGCTGATATTGAAGAAGTATAGGCAAATTGCCACATAAAAAAATACACAGTTTGGTTTATTACTTTAGCTCAAATGATGTTATGTTACAACTTATTTATTTTTTCTTTTATTTCCCTTGTTATTACTTCTACTATATGTGTTGTGAAAGAATGAATACTGATGATATAGTTTTTGGGACAAATTTATGGGTTATTATTAATATTTTCATTGCATAGTTAATAGATAAATGTTATTGTATTTCTACATTCTCCTGATTGTTAGCTGCCACTGGATCGATTAACTGCTGTTGTATCCTTTGCTATTTCCTAATTATGTTTACTTAATCATTCACTTCCTCTGATATCTCCCACTTTCGGTGTAGTTATTCCTATGTTGTAATTTCATCTTCATATACATTTGCGATCAGAAAATTACTCTACGTTATTGTGAGTTGATTGACATAAGATATACTATTGAACTAGTGCTTGTTGTATTCTATTATCAAACAGAAGACACGGTTGAAAGAAGTGTTCAAACTCTAGACCAATAGAAGTTAGGGTTATTCTCCGCTTCAAACTCTAGGTTTACCTTGCTAATCCAAACGAATAATTGGTTGAACTTTGGACGGTAGCGATAATCAAAAATGGTATACACAGAGGTAGAGAAAATGTACAGGATGCACGTTGATGAAAAATTATCTAGATATCTATCAACCTGCATTCATGACATTGTACATTCTTTTTAACTTTTCCCGTACTATACTATTTATTCTATACCATTCATACTATACTGTCTATATTATTTATATTATACCATTTATTCTGTGCATTGCGGTACTTGCCTAGTTAGAATGTGACAACTATTTTATTTTGGTGTACATCGACAGTTGAGGAAAAAATAAGATGTATGATTATCCTCTAATAAGTCATATTTATTAGTAATCATCATTTGTCATATGATAGTTGCACGTCTTTTCTAATCAATAATAACATCATTTACTGATACTACTGAATATCTTATCCATATTTCATTTCGCCTTCATCTTTTCGCCACCGACCAAATAATTATGTTTATGTGACCAGTTATATTTTAAAGATCGACAGATTTTGGTATTTTAGACGTTTGTATATTCAATTAATAAGTTTTAGAAGCAAAAACTGTTAATTGATTCATGTTTGTAAGCAATGGTTGCAAACAACGAGGTCTAATGCAAGAATACAAGTGATTGCTTGTTTTTTTTATCCTACGTAATGTACATCTCTCAACTATTTATATTAGTTT